TATCTTTTACTTTATTGAAATTTTTTCTACTTCTAAGCATAAGTCTGCAAAGCTTCTAAAGACTTTTTGTGTTTTCACTTCTGCTTTCTTAATCAATATATAGCTTATATCTGAGATACCCAGAGCTGTTTTTGTCTTTAACTCTCTTAATACTTCTTCCTAATTTTTTTTCTTAATTTTTCTTTCAACTCTGTATACTATTCTTCTCTGATGCTTTCTCTTAATTTATATATCTCTTTCTATTTTTTTGTCATTGCTTCTAATTTGATGTTTCTCTTTCTAATTATATTTTATAATGTTCTGCTATATTTGTCTTTATCTCTTCTGGCTTTGTTATTAGATATATCTCCTTCTCTTTTTGCTTGATAAGTCTATTAAGCATTATCTTTTTATACAGTTTATTTAAAAGGCTGACAAGCATTTTTCCTTGGTCTGTTTTAATCATTTCACATCTTTTGTTTATATTCTCTTCTATTTGTCTTTTTTGTACTTGTTTCTAGTCTTTTTTTTTTTCTTTGCAGGAGCTTTTGCTATTCTTTTATATCTTCTATATTTGTTCCTCTTCTTTCTTTTTCTGTTACTTCTTAGTCTTTCTTTGTCTTTGCATATTTGATTAATCTTTGTAGCTTTATGATATCTTTTTTTTTGTTATTGCATTTTTTGACTAATTCTTCTATTTGCCATTGTGTTGTATATTCTTTTTTTAGGTATATGCTTATTGGCTGCAATAATAATTGCTTCTTTTATAGTATCTCATATACCATTTATTTTGTTTATATGTTTTTTATATCTTTTATCTTTGTTTGGATGTTTTTTAGACTTTCTTTTACTTCTAATTACTTTCGCAACTTTTGTGTATAATTTTTCTAATTTTCTGATTTTGTCTAATTATATAAATATAATGTTCTTGATTGTTTTTTTCTTTTAACCTCTGCTTTACTGTTTTTTTCTATCATATATTTAATTCATATTTCTACAATTATAATTTTATGATTACTTTTTGTAATTCCTTCTGTTTCTTTAATGTTTGTCTTTTGCAAGCTCAAGGCTAGTTCTTCTGATATCCAAATATAGTCAATTCTTGTTGTAGCTTTCTTGTTTAACTATGTGTAATTTTGGCTTATTGGATGCATATTTCTATATGTGTCTATGAAGTCTTGTTTTCTTATCCAATTAAAGATCAGTAGTCTTTTAAAACTTACTGTTTGTGAATGTTGTCTATCTAATATATTGTCTGCCATATGATTAAAATCACTTATAATTATAACTTGTGTTTGTCTTTTCTATTTGGCTACTGTTTTTACAATCTTTTGTTGAATATTTTTTCTTATCATCTTGTTACTTGGTGGTATATAAACTCTTATCACTATTAACTCTAATTGCTTAAAGTATAGTATGACCTCTATCATGTTTTACTTATTCTCTTAACTGCACTCACATGCTTTTTTCATTGTTTTTCTATCAGAATTCCTACATCTGATCCTTTTTTCTTATATTCTGTCACATTTGTCCAATACTCTATATAGTTTTTATTTGATGCATATGTTAGAAGTCTTCTTTCTTTTTCAGTAATGTTTGCTTCTATGATTCCTAATATTGCAATTTCTTTTTCTTCTGCCTAGCTGAACAGATTTTCAAGCTTCTACCCTTAGGTTTTTAATCTATTAATGTTATGACATGCTATTTTAATCTCTTTCTTTCCTTGTTTTTATTTCTCTTTTAATTGGTTTTGTTCTGCTTCTATATTTTCTGCTCTTTTTTTTTCTTATTTTAGTTTTCTTTTCTTTTTGATAAGAAGTTATGCTTTTCTTAAATATTTCTCTTTCTCTTTGTAGAAAACCTTCAAGCTTCTTATCTGTTTTTATTAATTCAACTAAGGTGCCCTTAGAAGTGATCAGCTAGGCTATTTCCTATTCCTAGCTGCATTTTTTTTGTTGATTTGTCTTGTTGAACTTTGAGTCTATTTAATCTTTCTAAGATTTTTTGCAGCAAATCTTGCATTTGTAGTTTGGAATTATCTTTTTCTGTTTGTTTTATTTGACTTTCATTTTTGCTTTTGTTGTTTTTTCTTTTAGTCATTTTTCTTTTATAATTTTCTGCTCTTCTTCATTTATGTTGATATATATATCTTTTATATTTGAGTGTCTTTAACTGTTACTACCTTTTTTCTTTATATCTCATTTTTTCTAAAAGTTTTTCCAATATAAAAGGTGATCATTAAATCTTATTGATTTGGATTGTGCTGTTTCTATTTCTTCTTCTGTTGCAAAGATGATTGTTGCTGCTCTACTTTGGTTTCCATTTCTGTTAGATGGTATGTAAACTAATTTTGTCTTCTTGTTTTTTAAGCAGTATAGTAGCAATACTTCCAAAGCATTGCCTAGAAGCCCTGTTAGTCTTGTTGTGAACAAGCTTTGAAGATTATGTTAGATGTAATCTTTATTGCCTTTGGTTACTTTTGCCAACTTGTAAACACTAATTGGCAAAGTCTACAAAATGTTCTCATCAGTAAGTTGATCTGCTTGAACTATTGCTAATATCTTGTGTTTAGATCTTTTAATGTGTATTATTTGTATCTTCTTAAAGCTTTACACATATGCTTGATTTCTTCTACATTGATATTTACAGATAAGTTCCATATTGTAAAACAGTTATATGAGTTTATTCTTCTTTTTTTCTATATTCTTCTTTTCTGGATTGGTTTTTGTATCTTTCTTTTTCTTTTTTGTTATTGTTTTTGGCTTTTTGTTCAAGTTTTAATTTTTTGTTCCTTTCTAGAGTTAACATCCAGATTTATTTTTATATCTAAATTTAATTAAAAATTAAAAATATAATTTGGTTTAATCTAAATATAATTAAATCTGATTATATAATTAAATCTGGATATAATAAATCTGAATTTATGATTATATTTAAATTTAATTATACATTCAAATTTAATTATATATTCAGATTTAATTATACATCTGGATTTATAGCAATTTCTGAAACTTAAAGATTAACAGAATGATTTTTTAGCTGGTTTGATTAAGTTTGTGATTTTGTATAAAAAATTTGCTACATTTAAGTGTTTGGCAATTTTTAGAACTGATAAGCTTTATAAATTTTTTTGCTAGCAAAAAGGCTTTGCAAGTATCTTATTTCTGTAATCTTATAATATTTATATTATATAGTCACTTGATCTTATTATTATATATATACAATTTATTAAATCTGAAATCACCAAACTGGCTAAAAAATCATTCAGCTAATTTTTATCAGATGACCAAAAATTACAATGATTTATATTACAAATAGAATTAAAATATGCAGAGGCACTTTCACAATCACCTGCATATAAATTTCTCTAATTTCTTTAGATACATGGGTTACACATTTCTTTTTTTATTCAAACTTGATACTTATTGGGCTGCTATTAATAGAAATAAGGCAGATTGTTATTTAAAAAAAAATTTATCATCTTATCTTTCACAGTTTATATTCTGATAAATTTTAAAGCTATTATGATTATTTAATAGTTAAAAGAAAGTTTAAGATCTAAGCTTTCTTTTAACTATCAAATCATCACAATAACTTTAAAATTTATCTAAATATGAACTGTGAAAGGTAAGGTAATAAAATTTTTTAAATGATAATCTGCCTTATTTCTATTAATGGCATCTAATTGATTTTTCATTATCATCATTACAAAGTTACAAAAACATTTTTTACATTATATATGAAAAATAATTTTTTTTCTAACTGCACCTATTATTTGGATCACATAGAAAAATTATTAAATTAATTAGTAAATTTTTTTAATTAAAATATAAATTTGGCTCTGTAAATTGTTTTTTGAGGCTTAATATCAATCTGTTTGAAATTTGGAACTATGTAAAGGCTATCTGGTTGCCAGTTTTACATCAAAAAAATTTGCAATTTGGATAATTAGAAAATTATATATAATAATTATTTTATAGTATTAAACCATTATTGTTAAATTTGTATTTAAAAAAAATACATTTTTAATAAATATTTAACAAACATGTATAATTATAAAATTTTGTACTAAAATTCTTATATAATATAATTTAAAATGTATGAATAAATGTATGTTTCGAAATCTTAAATTAATAATAATAATAATAAAAAAAGCATACCTCATGTTAATAAAAAAAAGAATTATAAGATTCTAAAAAACAAAGCAGCTAGATTAGTAAATTCTATTATATAGAGAATTAATCACTGAATGTTTTATATTGTTATGAATAAGATTTCAAAAAAAAATTTAGGTTATGTAGATACATTTTGACTATAATTATATTCACTATTCAACTTAAATTTTAGCACCTGTCTATAGTTTTAATGATGTGTACTTACTAATACATAGCATTAATATTAAGTTTAATGTACAGTACATCATGATTTTTTTATTTTTTTTCTTGGGCTCTGCAATAAAATTGAAGTTATAATTTCTTATAACCATATTTGGACAAATATTACCTTATTTCTTTTTTGGGTTAAAATATTAGTTACACTTTATTTCACATTCTTAGGTAATTTAATGTGCTTGAGAATATTCAATAATTATATACTTGCATTTATAACTAATAGTCCTGTTGTTTAGTTTCAAAAATCTAGCATTTTATTATACAATCTGTTACACAAATCTAACTAATAAATTTATATTACTTTTTTTTAACTTATCAAAAATCTATTAATTTTCTAGTAAAATTACTATTTCTTTTTAAAAATAACATCTGATTAACTAAATTTAAAGAAAGATGAGTTCTTCTCACCAAAATATAGACATTGGCATCAGAAAATAAGCATTCAGATAGAACTGATATTGCAGGAACAGATAAATACTTATGAGCAAGTTGACAGAGTAATGAAAAACTTGCATATCTTTCTTTTCATTATATTAAAAGGTCTTGGTTCTTATGAGCAACTTGTTCTCTTAAATATCTTGTTAATTCATCTTCAGTAGTAATTTGTAGAGCAGATGCTAAATGTGAATTCTATAATTCAGCACTCAGAGAATTACAATTTTTTTTTATAGTAGTAGTTTGTGTTCTTTCAATATCATTTTCATTATTATTAGGTCCTAATGCAACTAATTTTGCATGAATTTTGTCTTTTACTTTTTTTTATTTACTAGGAGTAACAAATAAAAGTAATTTTAACCTACACAGGTTTAACAAAGAAGCTTTCAGTCCAATTTTATAAGGAATATCCCATAATTTATCAAGAGACAAATAAATTGCATCACACATTTTTTTTAAAAGCCTATTGCAGTTTGTAGAAGGTAAATATCTTATTATATTTGAATCATCCAATTCTTCTATTCTATTTATACTTTTCTTGTATTTTTTTACATAATTATGATCACAGTTTTGACAATATATATTTTAATGTACATGTTCATATTGCTATTGTTTTTTATTTCCAGCGATGGTATATCAGCTTTATTATCACTGCTAACACTTGTATCACTATTTGCTATTTGATCAGAATCTTCTGATCTATAGATGAGTTCTATTCAAAATTTGACAGATTCAGCCTTTTTTTTTTTTTATAAAAAACTGCAATTAAGCATATTTATTTATTTATTTATTAAAAGATAATTGTGAATTACATATAGCTATTATTTAGATTAATAAAGTCTAAAATTTTTTTTTCAAAGCAGATTCTTTTTTGGATTCTCTTCATTATAAAGTGTTAAGTACTTTAATTTCTTTTCTAAGTCTACTATTTGTTATATTGCTAATTATATTGTCTGATATTAGGTTATTGCCTCATTTTGCTTGATTAAACTAATATCAAATTTCATAAATTGCATGAATATGGATCCACAGTACTGCTTTGTGTTTTTTGGCATTTTTGATATTATTTGCATTAATTATTTCTTTTACTGAGGTTGGAGGATTCTCTATTTCATTGTTTTTAAGCAGTTTATGGCTTTGTTCCCAAATTCATTTACTAGTTTTGCATTTAAGTGCAAAGTGTTCTATAGTTTGAGTAATGTATAGGCAGCCTGGACAGCTATTATTAGAGTTTTGTACAAAGTAAGTAGTCTGATAACCTAAAGGTAGGGCTCTATGCATTAGTCTCCAAAAAATGTCCTTTTTATTGTTTTGAATATTTCTAAGTTTCATTAATTTATATGTATTATCTAACTGGGTTTCTTGGCTTGGTGTACTATTCTGTGTTGTAATAGATATTTCATTTTAAAGAAGTTCAGTTATAGTTTTGACTGAGTAGTTGCTTGCTATCATCGATTTTATTTTAATATTATCTAAGGTTCAGGGCCAGATGTTGTTCTCTGTAATTAATTCTTCTACTTTTTTCTAAGCTGTTAGATAGAATTTTTATCTTTCTGGCCACCCTTTTAGCTTAATATTATTTTGGTTTAGAGCAGCTTTGGGTATTATTCCTCTTTTGTTTTGAAGATCAGAAGTAATTAGTTCTCTTTCCATATTTGACTAGAAGCTATTTTCAGTTAGTAGTCTTGTTCAAATTGATAATAGTCTTGCATCAAGTAGATCTTTTAGAATAGGAGCTTTTAGGCCTTCTAGCTTTTCATCAGTTTAAAATATTAAGTAGCATAGAAGCATTTTAGATTTATTTTTGATCCATTTAGTGAGAATTGAGCCTATTTTGTTAAGTTGTTTTCTGCTTGAAGGTAGTAGATAAGCTAGATACCAGATCTTTGATATAAGTAGGTTTTTGTAACCAGAATTTTCCTTTAAAAAAAAGATTTCTTGTAGAGAGATGATCAATCTTTTTCTTAATTTTGTTTGTTATCTTATATCATAGGTCTTTTGCTGGCTTTCTTTCAATGTTAGTTTTATAACCTAGAATGGTAATTGTGTCATCTTGTTCATTAGTTTGAAAGTTTTCTATTTCTTGAAGTTGTATTCTTCAAGTATTTTCTGTAAGAGGTATTAGTATTGATTTGTTTTTATTGATTTTTGCATTAGATGCCTTTTCATACTTCTGAGCTAGAAGCATAAAGTTGTTCTAGTCTGAAGCAGTGCTAAAGCCTAGTGTTAGATTGTCTGCATAGGCTGCTATCTTGAAAAACTTTCCTTTAATTTGAATTCTGAACAGGCTCTTGTTGAAAGCTTAAAGAAAAGAGTTAAAAGCTAAAACATATAAAAGAGAAGAGAGAGGGTCACTCTGTCTGACTTATTTTACTTTAAAAGGTTCTGAAGTTTTACCAGCATCTCTAATATGAGCTTGCTGTGAAGCAAATAATATATGAATTACTTGTCAAAATTTATCATCAAAATTCATTTCTTTTAGAACTAACTATAGATAGGAATAATTAACTCTGTCAAAGCTTTTTGTTGATCAAGGAGCAATAGCCAGTATTGTTTGCATTGGTCTACTTGGTTTCTTATAACTGTTAAGATATTAAGAGTTGTATCAATTATAGATCTGCCTGCAATAAATTCTTGTTGTTCTGGCCTAATCAGTTGGTTACATATTGGATTAAGATGATTTGCTAAAATTTTCATGAATATTTTAGCATCACTGTTGACTAAGAAGATGGGTCTTCAGTTGTTAATATCTTTCAAGTTATCTAACTTTTTGAGAATAAGAGTAATTATACTTTTGTTTCATGAGTGTAGCATGCAGCCTGTGTCTATAACATAGTTGAAAAGTGTCAATAGAAATAGGAGTATTTCTTTTTTTGTATTCTTGTAGAATTTATAAGTTAATCTATCTAACTCAGAAGTTTTGTTGTTGGGCAAGGAGTCGATTACCATGCTAATTTCTTCTTTACTGATGTGTTTTGTTAGCTGATGGTTTTGTGTCTGATTAACTAAAAGGAGGTCTTTTGTTAATTCTTTGGCAGCTTCTATGTCAAATTTCTCTGTTTTGTATATTGTTTGGTATTTGTTTCTAATGTTAACTAGTATATTGGTGGGATTCTGTAGAACCATATTATTAGGTATTTCTATCTCTGCTGTGCAGGAGGTTATGTGTTTAGCTTTGTAGAAGGAGTAGAAATATTTTGTAAACTTTTCTCCTTTTTCTATTCATTTAGCATTTGACTGAATCTGCTATTTTTCAGAAAGAGATGTAACTTCTTCTTGGATTAGTGTTTTCATGTGTTCAGCAATAAGTTGAAGATCTTCTAAATCAGGATTATTGGCAATTTGGTTGTTTAGTTTGCATAGTTTTTTGTGTAATAATTGTATCTTTCTTTCTGGTGCTGTGTTTGGTTTAAAAGCTCTAACAATTAATTGTAATATGCATTTGTAGAGATCTCAGTTTTGCACTTCTTTTATTTTTTGTAGTTCTTTTATAATTTTAGCTCTCAGTTCTAAGTTATACTAATGTTCTTTTTTGAATCTCCAAAGTGGTGTATAGTATGAATTATTTTTGTCTGAAATTGTAGTTTCTACTAGAAGATGGTCTAAATGACCTGGTCTAGTAGTAGTTTCAAAATTGAGATGACCAGATTCAATTTTGACAAATATGTAGTCTAATCAGATGGCCATTAATTGATTGTTTTGAGTGTTTTGATAAAAGGTTAAGAAGGGGTTGCTCTTTGAAAACTTGTTGTGTCTATGTAGTCTTTCATAAGCTCTTTTAGCAGTGTTCTAGAAGAATCATTTTGTGAAAATGCTTGACTAATGCAGTTAATTTAAGGATCCTGATTGGTGTTAAAATCTCCTGCTATGACAGAAATAGCACTGTCATCATTAATTGATGTCTAGTTATTGAAGAATTGATGCCTATCATCTCAACTGTAGGGTGCATAGACATTTTAAGTAGATAAAGTTTATTTCTGAAGGTTACTTTTGCTAATATCAATCTGTTGTTATATGAAATTTTGGAGTTCTTTAGTTTAATATTTGGTTTTTCAATTAGAATGGCTGTTTTGAAAGACCAAATTGAGTCGTAATTCCATTGTTGTGCTAGAAACTTTTTTGTTACAGGATCATTTAAATTTGTTTCTTAGATAAATATTATATCTAACTTATAAGACTTTAAAAGTGTTAGGGTTTTTTAAGCCTTAACTCTATTGTTAAGGCCCTTGACATTCAGTGTAGCAATTTTAATCATAAGATATAAAGAGATATGTTGGCCACATAGCAGTTTGTTATGAGTGGGGATGATTAACTAGTAGGAAGAAAAGCCTGTTCAGGCATTCTCTGTCCTACTCTAATTACTTTTCTCACTTGTTGTAAGGGTTTTCTTTTTGTTTTCTTTTTGGTTGTTCTTTTTTAAAATGACCAAAGTAAATTCTTTCTCTTCAGTTTTGTTTTCTTTGTTACAGTCCAATGGTTTCATTGTTATATCTTGGTCATAGTTTGTAGCTGGTGTTTCATTATTTGTGTTCTTGTAATTAGCTTCTATTAAAGGTGAACCATGTTTTGAAATAGAGATACTAGTTGTGTTTTCCTCAAAGCTTAAGTCCTGATCATCTATAGTATTGATTGAGTCATTTTCTTTTAGGCGATTAGAATTTGGTACATTAGTGTTTGGTCCATCTTGTTCTGTGATCATATCTGAGATATATGGGTTTTCTGGACTGTAGGATATATTTTCTGTTTGCATTTTTTGGTTAAGTTTGTTTGTTTCCATTAAGGATTTTTTTGTTCTGTTTGTAACTGTCTTAGTTCCATTGAAGCTCTAAGTTCTGCATATTCTTTTTTAATATGTCCTGTTTTTTTACAGTAATAACATATTTTTGGAGCCTTCTTTCAGTCTGTAGTGACTTTGTAGTCACTGACATGTATGTGTCTAGGTAGTTTGGCCATCAGGTTTGGATCATTTAATATTTCAAAAGTTACAATCCATTGGTTAGAGCATATTGGAGTTCCTTTATATAGAAGTGGTTTTATAGAGGCAATAGTGCCAAAATCTTGAAAAGCTTTCTTAATCTGTTTATTGATAACTTCTTTATTGCCCATTGGTATGTTCTTCAATTTAACTAAAAGGAATGTATGCTTAAGATTAACTAGGACATATCCAAAAAATGTTTGTTTAAACATTGTAATTTCTTCTGAAGCATACAGTTGTTGTTTGTCTTTATCTGAGAAGGCTATTTCTAAAAAAGCCTGTCTGCCTCTGATAATGTGAGTTTTTGCTACTAGCATATCTTCTTCCAGTTTGATGTAGAGGGTTGAGATGATGTTATTGATAGATATATTGATAAGCTTAGAAATATCAAAAACAAGAGCATTTTCATTCTTAGAATAGATCTTGTTTCTGGGTGCTATGTTAGAGAAGGTTGCCTTGCCTCCTTTCAGCTTCAAGAATAAATTTGACCATTGTTTAGGTTTGTTGTTAGCTGGTTTGTTATTCACATCATCTGATATTGTGCTATCAATGATTTTGTCTTGTATATCAATTTTGTCATATATGATGTGCACATGTTTTGTATCTGTTTGTTTGTTGTTTTCTGTATTTGCTACTGCATGTGTTTTGTTGTTTTTTATCTTATTGTTTTCACTTGTAGAAGAAGTAGCTTTTTGTTTGCCTTTACCAACTAGTTTTTCTTCTTGTTCTATATTACTGGCTCAGTTTTCATCGCCTTGGTTGTTGCTTTTACTTGGTTTCTATTTGGTAAATATAGTGTGTTTGCTGTTTCTGCTTCTACAATAGGAGTTTTTTTTTGTTCTGATGACAAGTCAAAGTCCTTTTTTTTGGCTCTAGTGTCATGAAGTTTTGGTTTCTTGGATATTAAGCTGCTCATGTTTGACAAAAATAAGTTTCTTTTCTTGGGTATAAGGGCTTTAGTCCTACCAGAAGAGTTTAAAAAAAAGTTTTTATTTAGTTTTTGTGAAATTTTGTTATTTTTGTATTGTTACCAAAAGTGTACCAGAAAGAGTTTTTGGAATAGATCTTGATTCACTCTTTTTAGCTATTGAAGCATATTTATTCTTTAACATTTGAATATAAGGATATAAAAGATTCATCATAAAGTATTTTGTACTACAAATGTGCCTTGTTATTTTCTCAAAAGGTTTTAAGATCTCAATCATTTCTTCAAGTAATCTTTATATAAAAAAATTTAATTAAAAAAAATAATAATAATGCAAAAATAAAATTATTATAACTAAAAAAAAAAAAAAACTAAAATGAAATTATTAAATCAAAAGAAAAACCAAATACTTTTTTTTTCAGAAGATAGGCATAATTGATTAAGTTTTTCATCCTCTCTTCTTAATGCTTCATCTGGTTTATTCTGTAATAATGCAGCTAATGTACACATTGCTAGATGCAATTTTAGTATTCTTTTTCAAGTCAAATAAGATGAATTTCATCTTGTCCTACAATCTGTTAATGCTTCAAGAAGGTTAATCATTCAATCAGCCTGAGGTAAATTAGCTAAATTAATAAGTATTTGTGATTCTTGTAATCACTATGCTTGTTTTGAAAAACAAAAAAATGCTTGAATACTTTTAAGTTGTTAATGAATAGGCTTAACTTGCTTTAATTCTTCTCTAACAGATAATTGAAGGATATGCACAATACAAGGTTGCCAGCTGACTTTTAATAAATAATCTTCATTTAATAACCTTATTCTCTTTACAATATTGGCACTATTATCAGTGATAATCACAAACATTTTATTTTCAAGATTCTATTTATAAATTATATTAATTATATTATAAAGTTCTTTACTAATACTTTCACCATCATGTGGGTAAAACATATGATAACATGTAAGTAATGCTTTCTGAAGCTTAAAATCAGGTGTAAGCCATGTCACTGTGACACCCAAATAGTCATATTTGTTTTTAGCAGTCCACAAATCTGTGGTCAAATGAACAGTAATGGCAGTTTTAACTAATAATTCCTGAAGCTGATCTATTTTTATATAATATGCATCAAAAATATATCTTTTAACACTATTTGTACATGAAATTCAATATTGGGTCAGAATGCTAAAAGCATTTGGCAAAAAGGTAAACATTTAAGTATATGTAAAAGTTGAACATAATACATATTTTGTGAGCTCATATTGTTATTTAGATAAAAGAGTATTTATATAATTTGTAATTCGATTAATATGTATCTTTGGCTACAAATATAATAAATTACAGTATAAGACTTTATAGATATAAAATTCTAATGTGTTATGTAGCATTAAAATACTTACTTGATTTTAAGAATCAAAATAAGATTTATAATTTTTGGCTGTAATTTGTTTTTCATAAAGATGCGTGTTAAATTTCTTGTGCTACCATCTAACTTAGTATATAAATAAGGACTATAATAAGACTTTTTCATCTCTTTAATGCAAATTTTACAATATCTAATTGCATTGTCTACTTTATCATTTTCAAAAAAAATTATGTATAGCTTGCATTTGCTCTTGAAGGTTTTTGAAGCAAAGGTATTTGATGAGGTTAACACTATTATACTGTTAGAAGCTCATCTTTTTTTTTAGCTTACAGAATTTTTAGTAAATTCATTATATTTACTGAAAGCAGAACCATGTGTTATTAAAGGAGTATCATATTCTGTTATTGAAGGCAATGGTAATAAAGACTATTCTTGAAACTTATCTAGGGACTCTTAAGAAAACTTTTTTTTTTTGCTATTGTATGATGGAACCCAGTTTATATATGATATTGGTATCTGGTATTACTATTGAATAGAGTGCTCATATGTCATGATCCTTCTTTTATATTACATATTATAAATTATTAATTATTGTGGCAGATTAAAATAAAATTTTTTATAATTTTAATATGAAAATTTAAAAATTTTTTTGGTGCATTTTTTTAGATTTTTTTTAGGATTAAAAAGTTAGGTTTGTTAATAAAAGAGTATAAGTAGGTTTTATAGATTTTAAAGAGACAAAAAAAACCCCCTAAATTTTATTTTAATCTGATTTCATTTTAATTTGCCACAATTATTGTCATTGTTATTATTACATATTATTACATATTATACCTTTTATTATCATTTTTTAATTCAAAAGCTGGTTATTTCTAGAACTTATTATCTTATATATGTATTGATAAATCAGTTTAGACTACATGCATTTACTTATGCAGTTCTCAGACATTCATAATTATGCAGAAGAAGAAAAAGTTATTTGTAAAAACTAATGTTTTACATATATTTATATTCATCTATTCAAATTTATATTCAATTCAGATTTATATTCAATTTGGATTTATATTCAATTTGGATTTATATTTAATCTGAATTTATATTAAATTTGGATTTAATTATTTTTTTTTTTTTTTTTTTTTTTTCCTTAGGCAGCCTTGCCGATCACCTTTATTAAGATTCTTGTATACATGTTATA